TAAAAAGAATGAGCAATTATCGCGACAGTTGGGTTGGCATCTTGTAACTTTATTTGTTCGTCATTAACAACACCCGACAGTGTTTTAAAACATTTACGGCACCTCTCATAGAAAATAATTTCACATAATATCATAAAATGAAAAAAATGTAAATATTAATCTGACAACGGCGCGTTGACGGAACGGCACTTTCGTGTGTCACCGTTTAGTGTCTATGCTGTGAGATCTGTGCAATATATGTTTACCTGCACTTAAATTCGTTTACTTTCTTCTATTTTGTTTACTTTCTAAGTATTTGCATTTTCTTATCTTTTTGAGCATATTGACACATTTTAAGGTGAAGCCATGTTTCTCCCTGCATGAGAGTCACCAGAAATGAAATAGAAACTAGAATGTATGAAGGTGTAGCTGGGAAAAAAAGGAATCACTTCAGACTTCATTTTCGGTTCGGTATATATAACTGGCACAACCTAAAAGCCTGTCAAAGTGGTAACATGAAATCTTCCAGTTCAGTCATAAAATACGGCGTTCCACAGAGTATATAAAGCACCATGAACAGTACAGCATCGCTGGACATGACCTTGATGTATATATAAACGCCAACGAGATTCATATGTGTTGTTTGAAAAAACACGCAGAAGGTTTCCGGCCTGTATTCATGTCATTCGCGGATTGATGAAATTGAATTATGTTGATTTGAAACAACGGCATAGGACAATAACTGTTAATTATTCATCACATTTGAAATCTACCGTAATGAAACTGGGTAACTCTAAGATTGGAGGACTAGATATCATCTTTTCTAGCAATATCTCTGGAAATATATTTTTTTAATATTAATGGATTCTTTGGTGTACCAAAATATGTAGGCATGGTTGTTTCTAGTTGCTATGAATTGGCACGATCCGATAACTACTTGACATAAGCACCACATTTCTCAAACTATATTTTTTCACGAATTTCCTTTACGTAGCAACCCGCCAGTACAGTCACGTAATACGGACTTCCTCGGGGAGCTTTTGTGTTGCCATGGATCACTACTATCTCCACGCTTTTTGCGTTTTATTGATAAATTATTAATCCCAGCACTTGCAATATTAATAATCATAATATTAATAGTAATAATAATTAATATAGATGCTATAATTCTGTGCTGTAAAACTATGCTGGCAAATATTTAGTAATGTCCTGCATTGCCGTATTTAGTATAGTAACTGATTTAATTAATTTACTCGGGAGTATATGCTTCAGAATGAAAACAGAATGTTAGCTCTTTGCTTCCAATGCATCGCCGCTGATCGGGGTTGTAATGAAAAGACTACCTGTCTCATTGCTGATTCCGGCAACAAGAAAATGAAGAACGTTTTTTTTTTTCAGTCGATGCGTACACGCTTCGTTAGGTTAAGAACATAACAGTGTTGTACGTAAAAAAACATTAGTAATACATGACTGGCACCGATAGTATTTGTATTACAAAACTTTGAGATTATAATTAACACGATTTCCAGTCCCCAAAACAATCACATCACCGGTAAATACAATCTAGCTGAACAAGTGTTTCCTATGGAGCAACGGACCGTGTAAGTGCCAATAGTGGCTGCAAGAACGTGTTTAACCAAAAAATTCATTTATAATCTCATTGTGCAATTTTGGTTAGACGGAAGATAATCCATCTGATTTCACTTGCAATAATATGGGGCCAACATATTAACATGTTGTATATTTGTGATTTGTAATAATATTATTGAAAATCTTATCAGTTGATCAAATGAAAATAAATTGTTATCTCCACATTAAATCCAGAGATCAATTAACTGTTCAGCAGTTTATTGGGTAAACTGAATGTACTATTGACCTCAAGGTTTCCAGGCGACTGTATACATGCTTATATTCGCACATCTGTGGATACATCGTATTTTGTTGCTAATTTATTGAGACAGTGTAAACGATACATGATTATGACAATGCTACAAGTTCGGGTAAAGGAGACGTAAATCAACATTTGATGGTTACTAGTTTTTTTTTACTCACCAACACACAAGCGTAATTCCTTTTGCTATATCAATTAACTGTCATGAACGAGACCGGTCAATTGACTATTATATAGTTCTACATTACATTTTTACACGTCTCAAAGATTATATCTCGTGGATAAGGTTTCAAGTTTACTGCTTTACAGTTGGGTGAATAACGAGCACTTTTTGCAGTGACTATTTACCACAGACTGCAGGGTAGGTTTTAACGGCTGGAAGACCATACATTGCAAGGTATAGCGCTTCAATTACTCATAAACAGGAAGTCGAATTGTCAAAATGTATCGGTATCATGTTTTATAGAGTTCACCCATTAAGTAGAAGTTTGTCTAATATCCCCCGCGTATACGTTTCATCTGGATGTGTTGTCTCATTTCTCATTAAGGGTAAACGTTATCCCCTTTCATATTTATGGGAGCGGGCGCTATGAAAACTGAATCTCCCAACTGACACGTTGAGATGTCATGATCAAGTTTGTTCATGTTAATTCATATCATAACCGAAAAAATATGTCAATGTAGTGTTGTAATGATTAATGATACAAGCTAACATGACTATTCCGACACACGTGGCCATTCTGAAGAAACCAGTCATGTGAGAAAATTGTATTTCCCCCGGTAGAGAAATATTAGGTTACATATATTGAATTCGTAAACACGGGCCGAATATAGATTGTAACATTCTCTGCGAAATGTACAAAAAATAATAATTATAAACCATAAATTAAGTGAAATGAACAGTAATTAACTAACCTTTCCAAAGCTATGATCAAGAGCGTATTGACAGAGACATTCAGTGAGACTATCTTAACCGTGCCCACTAGTGAGCACATGACATCACCGAAAATCCATTTCTGGTACAAGTAGTAGTACAAGCTAAACGGTGCGCCTAGGATAGCTACCATAGCGTCGGATACCGCAAGACTGGCGATGAATAAGTTTGTCACGCTGCGTAGACGCTTCTGTCGTAGTATCGTCAAACATAGCAAACTGTTGCCAAAACCACATACTACGATTATGATCACGAGCGTAACAACAAGAAGTATTTTAACTGCGACGTGTATATCCGGCAGGTAGTTGATGTATCCGTAGTACGGTTCTTCTTTGTCAGTTGCCAAACCATCAAAGTATTCCCATATCTTTGGATCACTCCAGTTAATCGATCCATTTGAAAAATCCAACAAATCACCTAGGAAGTCAGAGGGTATCATCGTCACTGCTGCTTGTTTCGGGTACCTTACATGTATGGCAGATGCTCAACGCCGCGTTCGCTCACTAGTGTTTGTCCGACATCTGCTCACCCACCACCAGCAATAGCAAAAGGAAGTGAAGAGAACGGGAATCACACTTCCGTTTCTGTGTTGTCTCTCACCACCAGGAAAGCATCGTCACCAAGCGGTTAGTTTTCTGTGCTATAAAATACAAGCGCGGCCTAAACATCCTTGTTCGTCGTAAAATTATGCGATCTGGTGGGTACTCTTAATATTCGATTAAGTACTTATTTTCAATAGAAGCTTACTTTCCGCCGATAACAACAAATCCATGTAGCTTGTGGTAACAAAATACGATACGCTTTCAACTCTCTCTAAGGACCCGCAGGTATATTGAATAGTATCCGTGGAAAATATCGTGTTACTTCGCGTTTTCTCAAAACGACACACCAGCTATGTATAAGCGCGCCCTCTCTGTATGTGTCTTCAACGCGAGGTTCCGTTTCTAATACTTCAATCGCTTAACATCCATTTGTTTCACTACTGTGGGTAAACCTGTGTGACAACATGTCACATGCTCACAGGGCCACACCTCGCATGAATAACATATACGTTACTTATTTCAATCAATCTGCCGACATCTCACAGTACTGTAGTTTGAATGCCACTCACTTCATTTCAATAATTTGAATTCAAAAGTGATTACACTCTCATTCAACATCATTAATTACGTGTATTCCTTTATGAATGAGTAATTATTTGCTATTGTTTTGTTGACAGCGCCAATGAGAAAATGGTTAGCTTCGCATTTGATAAATAGGTTTCCCGCTTAGTCCTAAAGCATCGTTTGGTTGATACAAACCCTAGGTTAAAAAAATAAATAAGACAAAAATATTATTCGAATCCCCAGATTTTAGGGGGTTCGTACGAACCCAATGTATTTGCTAGATAATGTACTCGTGCAATTGTTCATATATTTAATTTCATTCGGCCCGAGGCCCTCGTTTCGTTCAAATTTCAATGTGCTTGTTTCTTGCCAGAGGTTCATTCCCAAATCGCGTCTCAACATTTTGCTGAAATAACAAAAGAGATAATTCAAATTTATCATTTCCAATTGTCGCCTTCGTTGACAATCACGGTGTCACTTTATCGTCTGTGATTAAAAATAATTAATAATTTGTTTTTAAAATCATCAATATTGACAAATTAGCAACATTATTACTAAACTGTGGGCCAGTTCTTTCAGCGGTTGTTACAGTAATACTATTTTTTGGCTTCTCCCTATTGTTCAAACTGCCCGTTAACCATGGTAACGAAGTGATTTTGTTAAGTATACCTTTTTATTATTTTTGTTTCTCAAAAATGCCCGTTTACTAGGAATCACGGCACTCTTCCTTTGTTCCAAACAGTTCCCATTTACTAATCCTCGACAACTTACGTTACTAGGAAAGAACCTTTCCAGGACGAGTTTGTTCACACATGACCTACGTACAAGGAAAGTTCAATGTTCTATTTAAAAATGGGACATTTTTGAGCAGCAACACCCTGGATTCGGACCAACGATTTCATCAGAATCGACGAGCTGTATGAATGCATGGTTACTCTACTGAACGTGCTAGGCTGGTAATATGTGGTTGAATGCAACATGTAATTTACTATGATATGTACATGAATCAGATGCGATTTCCACAAACAACAGAGTTATGTGACACCGTGACAACAAACAACTCACAACGGGTCTGCACATAAAAATCATCTAAAACTCGCTAAATTTGCAGTCTCGTGACCGTTCTATAATTATCAGTAAATCGGCAAGAGGGTAATGGCGGTTGCCACGATGAGGTTGTGTGGATTAGAAACGGATAAATTCTCAAAACACATATTGTGGAATGCGCGAAAGTATCGCTATATAGCAAAAACATAATGAATTAAAGCCCGAAGCGGCGTCAGCGGGACCCAAGCTATTATACATCTATTTCATACTTAATAATATCACGTGAGTACCATTGGAGTAGTTTAAATGATCAGTACGATGAAGTCAAAATGCAGTTGCTTCCACGTATTTAACTAGATCGGTGACTGGGATTTTCTGATTGTGTAATGAACCATGTGCTTATGCATAGTAATGATCAGGTCAGTTGACCCCAACCCATATTGGGCTGAATAACATGGCTTAACGATGTGATATTCCAAGGAAAGAATGCTTCTCCAGAGTGAATAACACTTGTAAAATTTCAGATCAATCACACCAATACACCTCGTATAATTGCACAATTTGGCGGACAAACCACGTGACTAGTAAACATTATATCATATCGTAAGAATGTATGGCCATACATCATGATATTTACAAATTGATCAGTTGAAGCACTCGTGGGAAACAAATGCCCCACATTTTTGGTATTTTTTTTCAAAAATCACAGATGGCGGACAAACCATTTGACTGATCAAAATCATAATATCGTTCTCTAAACTATAGCCAGACATGATATATTCAAAAGATCAAGTTGATCTGTTAAAGCACCAATGAGACAAATGCCCATAAAAGTTTGGTAATGTTTATCTAAAATCATAGTTCACGGCCAAACTATGTGGCCATTCAACTTTATTGTATTTTTCTCGTAATAAGCTGTGACCACTTAGATGATTGAATTTTCAAGCATATTCGACGTAGTATAAGTCGAAATAATTCAGCCTCCGTATACCCTCAGAAAGGATATAAACTTCCTGTTTTGGCTAAATCCAAGACGGCGGCCAAAGATTTTGGCAAATAAATGATGAGAGCATATTGTTGTAGTCCATGCAAACACCAATTCACGTACCGATACAAGTTTCAAAACTGTGGGTGGCTACAATTCTCAAAATTCTTAAAAACAAGTTACCCACAATTCACCATAGACTTCTACTCAAGAACAGCTAGTCTAAGGTATAGCTCCATTTTATGAGCTTAGGTACTTAGGGAATCCTTTGCCGTTTTAATCAATCATATCATAGTAGGATGGGCTATGGATGGCAGGAGCCAGTAGCAGGGATAGTATTTATCACAGACTAACCAATCAGAATGATACCGCGTATATTTGGATTCACTGGTCAGTTTTGCAAATTTCGTTTGAGAGGCTACATCTCTGCCTGCTGCTTGATAATTATGTCTTAAAACGAGATTTCAACAGGGATATCCTCGCTTACCAATACACGATATTGTAAGAAAAAGCATTTAATATCCCACCAGAGGCGATGATTCCGGCGAAAGAGCTCGACAGTTTGATCGCTTACCTCCAGACCAAACACAGCGTGCACGAATATTAGACATTCAAACAAGATTGAACTGTTTGTGCTTTTGTTTTTTTTGTGGTACATATTTTATTGACAACCACGGAAGCTATTGACTAGAGT